GGAGGGCGAATTTCAGGAACTGCAGGTAGGGCCGGACCACCTGGCCCCGCAACTCCACCTGCGGTGCAGCGCCTTCCCCTTCCTGCTTCCCCAGGCCGGGCGGGGAGGACGGTCAGGGCCCAGGGGCTGCGGTGAGCGAGGCCCTGGGAGGCGGCGGGCAGCGAGGGCCAGCCCCTCCCACCGGCCTGCGCCCCAGTGCCCCGTCCACATGGGCGCTGGGTCGAAGCCCCTCGTCCTCCCACCTCGCCCCGGCTCTCTGCGCCGCGCGCCTTCGCTGCAGAAAGTTGGTGTGTGGCCTCCGAGGGCGAGTTCCTGGAATGTCCCCGTGGGGATGTTGGAGGGCGCTGGCAGGTGCTGGGGCTCAGAGAAAGCCCAGCCCCCACCTCCGCCGGGGTCTCCCGTCACCCTGCCGCCACCTTCTGCTCATCTGCTTTTTCGTCGGCTCGACGCCCCCACTGCTCTGGCGGGGCATCCTTCTCTTGCTGCAGCCCCATTTGGGGAGATCTGTTTAGGAGCCGTTCACCTTGAGCCCCTGGGCAGTGCTTGGGGACAAGGGACCCCCGTTACTTGTCTTGGGGGCCCTGGTGCTGCGCCCGCCTCTCCGGCATCGCTGCGGGCTGGCCTTGGAGATGGCATGTCAGTTCTGACAGCTGGAGTCCCTCACGGAGCGATAGAGGCTGCTCCCTGCCTTCACCGCCTGGCACAGAGCCTTTTAGGGGTGGGGTGAGGGCTGAGGAAGAGAGGTCCCTTGAGAGAAAGGCATTGCCACCCGCTTGCTGGCAGGAGTGGTGGTTCCTGACAGGAGGTTCAGAGGCCCCTGCCACCTGCTTTGGTGACCAGGGTTGTTTCCTCAGTACCTTGGGGTTCATTAAGAAGGATGTGGGGGCTGTGTTTGCAGGCTGGGCTGTTCCTCTGCAGCCACAGGTTCCGTTTGTTTTCTCAGGGTTTGGGTCTGGCTTGTCTGGAATCACAGCGCACACGCCCACCCCAGTCCTCCCTTCACCTCCGTGGGAGCTGTGACATTTCCCCTGCCCATGTGGCTCTTGTCTGCCATTGGGCTGGCTTTCTACAGCACCGGGAGAGGAGAAGAAGTTGCCAAGGGTGCCTGGAGGGCCATGATGAATAGATGGGGGGGGGTGCTGGAGAGATGGAGGGCGGGGGCTCTGGCAGGCATGAGCGGAGGGCAAGGTGCCCAGAGCTGTCCTCCTCTTCTTGGTTTGTCTAGCATGTGTGCCCTCCTTCAGGTCTGGGGCTTGGGTCCCACCCGTCCCCAGGGGGCCCTGCTGGCTCCACTCCCATGGAGAAGACTCAGTCATTCTTGACACTTTGCCCTACTGGGCTCCAAGGTCTTTTCAGCTGTAGAGCCAGGGTGGGTGAGAGGCTCCAGAGTTGGAGGAGAAAGGAGCTTTGCTGCCTGGACGTTTTGTTCAGAATTCTTTTCCTTTGCCCTTCTTTGGATGAAAGGGAGGAGGAGGAGGAGTCTTCACACTCCAGAGTCGTGCAATTAATGCAATTAACAGCAATTAGATGCAAGTCTTGGCAGGCAGAGGTTGCAAAGGAGTTCTTCGATGTGTTGTGTTCTGACTTGGGGTGTCTGATGCTCAGGTGTGTTAGGGACAAATGAATTGGGCATTCATTCTGGACTTTGTCTCTTGGTCCACAAAAACTCACGATGTCTCCTGCTCAGTTCTTTTTTTAAATTATTATTTTTTTATTTGTTATTATTTATTTTTTAATTTGACCAGAGAGAAAGGGAAAGTGAGAAAGCAAACTGCCAGGTCTGGGACTCGAACTGCGGTCAGCCATGCAGGAGTCCAGTGCCCTAACCACCATGCCACCTGCTGGCCCCCACCTGCTCAGTTCGTTAGAGATGGGGGAACTAGAAGGAGCTGGTTCTGCTTGGGGACCAGGGGGGCCCTGCTGGCTGCGTGCTCTGGTGTTCAACTGTTGGGTCCGAGGTGAGTGAGGAATTGCCTTCCTGGGTCAAGGCCATAGACCGGAACAAAAACCACCACCTACATCTTCAGTTCACATAGAAGGAAACTGAAGCTCAGTCATGCTGATTTACTGAGCTGGGGCACAGCTATGTAGTGGTAAACCCGGGACTAGAACTTAGTTTTCCAAACGTCAGGAGAGCCCTGTCATCTTACCTGCCCCCTCGTGTTAAATGGGGAGCTCTGCGCTCCTGAGCTGAAAGTCTCGGAAACCTGCATTTGCTAAGGAGGATGTTTTGGGTCTGTCGTGACTTTGCCGACGACCCAATGTGCTGTGTGCATGCGTGTGCGTGTGCGTGTGTGTTGGACGGAGTTTCAGATACATCAGGACCCTAATGGGGTCCGCGCTCTCTTTCTCTGCCTTTCTCACTCATGGAGGGAATAAAATAATAAATGTAGGGGCCAGCAGGTGGCGAAGTGGCTAAGGCGTTGAATTCCCACATGGTGAACTACAGTTTGAGTCCAGACCTGGCACACTGACACTCGTGCTAGGTATATGTGTGTGTGCATACCCAAAATCCCAGGAGGAAAACGGAGGAGAGGAGATTGCAGTGTGGTCATCCCCCCGGGGGGTAATTTCTCATTTTCCTTCTCACGGTCTCTAGCAAGCGCATGTACCCTATGGCAAAAGTCTTACAAGTAAAAAAAACAAATGGATGAATGGCATAAAAAGAATCACATTCTCCTACTACTTAAACACAGAGTTGTGGTAAAAAAAAAAATCAATGTACAGAAAAGTTTTAGACGTCTAACTTCACCGAATCCAGTACTAAACATGCCTCTTTATATTCTTCAGCTTCTTTCAAATCTTTTTCTAATATCTGCTGAAGTCTATACGCAGCTTCCAACCTGCTCCGGCAACCTGGGATCATCGTCCAAGACACCTGTAGGATCTCTGCCTGCATTTTAATAGCGTAATTTTCTTTTCTTTTCTTTTTTAAAAAAGTATTTATTGGGACTAGCAGTTAGCTTAATGGCTATGTCGCTGGACTCCCACATTGTTGACCACAGTTCAAGTCCTGGACCCGGTGGCTTAAACTCACACCGGGCGTGTGTGCGTGCGTGCCCAAGATCCTGAGAGGAGAATGGAGAAGGGATTGAGGCATGGCCATCCCCCCAAGGGGTGATTTCTTGCTTTCTGTCTCTCTGTATCTCTCTGTCTGTCTGGCAAGCGCATGTACCCTCTAGCAAAAACCTATCCAAAAAGAAAAAAAAGGTATTTATTTAATTGTATTGTTCATTAATTTTAACTTGACCAGAGAGAGACACAGAGAGAAAAGGAGGGAAAGTGAGAAAGCAAGCTACTAGGTCCAGGACGCAAACCATGGTCAGCCATGTGGGAGTCCAGCACCTTAATCACCGTGTCACCTGCTGGCCCCCTTAATGGCATAATTTTCACCTTTTCAGCTTTTATTCTTTTATTTTTTTAAATTATTTTTATTTAATTTTATTTATTCATTCCCTTACTTATTTATTTTTTATTTAATTTGACCAGATAGAAACAGAGAGAGAGAGAGAGAGAGACAAAGTGAGAAAGTAAACCACCAGCTCTGGGACTAGAACCGTGGTTGGCCATGTGGGAGTATCCAGCGCCTTAAACACCATGCCACCTACTGGTCCCCATTGTTTTCAGTCTTTTCTTCTTCTTATTTCTTTTTCATCCATTGGTTTTTCTTTGACTAATCACTTTATGCCGGTCTTCATCTTGATCTGCCTCATGTGAGGATCGGCCATGGTCCCTCAAGCGCCTGGAAGGCTCCTTTTTCTTTTCTTTATTTTCTTTTTTAAGAATTATTTTATTATAACTTTATTTACTTATTTTAATTTGACCAGAGAGGAACAGAGAGAGAAAGAAGGGGAGGGGGAAGTGAGAAAGCAAGCCATGAGGTCTGGAATTTGAACCGGGGTCAGTCATGTAGGAGTCCAGTGCCCTTAACCACCATGCACCATGTCAGCCCTATCCTTTTTTTTTGCTATAGGCATAGTATGCGCTCACCGGAGAGACATAGAGAAAGTGAGAAGTCACTGCCTCGGGGGATGGCCACCCCGCGGTCCTTTCTCCTGCATGCTCCTCTCGGGATTTTTGGAACACACACAGGCTTGGCATGAATTTCAAGCCTCTGGGTCTGGGCCTTGAACCATGATTGTCTGTGTGTGAGTCCACCACCTTAACCACTACTTACTTGCTGACCCTTATGTGTTGTGAGTTTTAAGTCTCTAGGTCTGGGACTTGAGCCTCAGTTGGCTATGTGAGAATTCAGTGCCTTAACCACCATGTTACCTGCTGACCCCAAGACTTAATTTTCTTTCTTTCTTTTTTTTTTTTTTTTTAAAAATTATTAAATTAAATTAATTTATTTCAGTTTGATCAGAGATGGACAGAGTGAGGGAATGAGAGAGAGAGAGAGACAGAAAGGAAGTGAGAAAGCAAGGTTCTGGGTTTGGGACTCGAACCATAGTCGGCCATGTGGGAGTCCAGTGCCCTTAACCACCTGCCACCAGCCGGCCCCTATAACTTAATTTTCATATCCTAGAAGACTTGAAGGTCTTGGGAATTTCCCCTACTCAGGAAAAAATCACAGCATAGCTCATGTCCAGGATGTTAGAGGACAGGCTCAGTTTTCTTGGACGGTTATGTGCATCTGTCAGGTTCTTACTGGACCCCCAGGCACAGCTGAGTCTCCCGGAGGACTTAGTTTTTGGGTGAGTGGGTTTCAGCCATGCTGGAGAACTTAACGCCATTCTGAGACCAGCATGTGCCCACGCCCTGGCCAGTGGCGTGACCGCAGAAGGTCACTTACAGACATGATGGCAGGCAATTTAATGAACATTTCCTGCCTTGCGTCACTGGAAACCTGACGCTGCTCTTCCCCAGCAGAAAGGAGGTGGCTGGAGCAGCTTCTCCCCAAGCCTGACATCGTGGGGATGTGGGGGTCTGGTACGCTCTTGTGAAGGTTTTAGCTTTTACTACCAATGAAATGGGCTTCTCTCTGGCTCTGGGTATAGAATAGGCCTCAGGGAGGTGGGCTAG